AAAAATGTGTGAGCCAGAGGCTAAAAACCTGTGAGCTAGCTCACTCTAACTCAGCTTAGAGGGAACACTGCCCATGGCTCTACAGCTTGGAGTCTGCAGCTCATCATGTGGGAACCCATTGGAGAAGTGTATTTTGGTCACTATGGGGTGATGAAAAGTGCCATCACATTGCAGCCAGCATATGGTTGTCCCTGTAGGGTTTCCAAGGCAAAAGATAAGCAGAGTTTGGTTGCCACTGCCTGACTCTCCATAGCCACCCTGGATTTTTTTGGTGGTCTACCCATCCAAGTACTAGCCAGGGCCAGCCCTGCTTCGCTTCTGAGATCTGACGAGATTGGGCTAGCCTGGGCTACCCAAATCAGGTCACTGTGGGGTACAGTAGAGCAAATACTCTTCTCCCCAAAAAGATGAGAGGTGCAAATAAATGACACGACACTCTTTTCTCGCAACAATGCTCATTCCTTTATTGTCATGATCAAGATTTTTGGAATGGTGCTGCCAGAGCACTGTTTGGGACAGCACTAAATCAAAGCAACATTACAGAGTACTGAAGAGCTTAACCATCCAGAACCAGAGGGGGCGTGGGACAACGACCTCTGCCAGTAAATTATGTATAATATAGCTATGCATAATATGTCCTGTATATTCATATGTATAGAGCGACAAGCATGGGCCAACGTACACCAATTTTTTACTTCCTAAATAAACCACCACAGCAACAGGCACAAAGATTTTGGTCCCAGTTGAGGCCCTCATCTTGCCAATCAACCAATCCCTCCCACTTTGTGAAAAAAAAACCCTCTGGAATTTGTCCCCTCTCCAGTCACCCACATAGACAGTAATTTCATAGTTTTCCCAGAGTGGACACCCACACTCACCCACACAACATACGCATCCACCACACACATTCATATGTAAATACAGACTTGCCAACATACAAAGAACAAAGAACATCAGAAATTTACATCTGAGGTTGTCGCAGCAATGCAGTGAGGCCCTGGGAGCACCCCGGCCTGTTCGACAGAGGCAGGAGGGATGCCACAGCTAAATTAGCTGTTCTTGTCTTAAATAACAGAATTTCTTAATCATTGTCCTTGGGTTTTGTGCTAGGAAGTTATCTGAGGTTATTGGCAGCACAGCAGTGGACAGAGAACCAAAATGCGAGAGATCTTCAGACACTATACGTGGCGGGAGTATCGAAGGGGCACTTTGGCGTCAGAAGTAGCTTGTTGTGCCCCTTGCTTGTATGCACAAGGGCATCACCACTAGGGAGGGGCTAGCTGTGGAGAGACTCTGCCAAATTCCTTAAGTCGAAATCCATAGGGCAGGAGATACAATCTGGCCCCAACCCATTTACAGCCAGTTCAGATCCAGGCTGGGTGTAAAGAATTCCGTTCCTGTGCATCTTTTATGGCAACAGCCTCTGTTGCAATGGTATAGAAAATGAATCAAGCAGAACGGATGTCTCCAGCTTTTGCTACTGGGAAGGATGGATGTCTTTTGTCCTGGCTGGTCTGCTCAGCTACGTGTCTCCACCAGATACATCTCTTTATATCCCATGGTAAACAAAGTCCAAAGGGCAGAAACAGCCCAGTTATTGGCATGTCCAAGAAGACAGTAGGGTTGGCAATACCTTAAAGGCTCTGAGCAATTGGTTTGCAGGTATGGCATTGGCCAGACCTGAAATGTTTCAAGCCCCCTTGCTGTGCGTCGCCGTTGTGCTGTATGGTAAACCCAGAAGATCCATCTGGAAGTACTTGATCCCAGCTCCAGGGCAATGCACATGTTTAAGAGACTCTGGAAATCAAAGGCAAGGAAGTACTGACTGAGTCCGTTCAAATGCCACTGGCAGACAGGTGAAGGAGGATGGGAAAGGGACTTTTCTCTAACAGCTGTACTATTCTTCAGTAAGTGACCTGAAAGATATGTTGGACCCACTCAGACTGACTCACCAAGCCTCTTCCCCTTCCCCCATCATTGTCCCCAAAACATTCTCGATTTCTTGTGGTGTCTGATGGTACTCCTGTTCTGGCCACCACAATTTCTACGCCATGTGCAGCAGGACCAAGGGAAAACAAGGCAGGCATGATTAGAGTGCCACCAGCTATAACAAGTGGCAAAGCGCACAGAATGAATGAGAGCCCCGAGGGAAGCCGTTCAAGGACAGACTGGCACACTGTACAGTGAAACTGCACAGCACTGTATTGTGGGCCCCCCCGCATGTTTCTCTTGTCTGCATCATGACCAGAACATTCTAGGAAATAGGCTGTTGTCATTTCCTTGCTGCCAAACAGGACAACCTCCCTCTCCCTTCCCATCCTCTGAGCCACCTTGCAGTGGCTTATGGCTTTCAGAAGCAGATACTATATAAGTAAAATCCCCCTGGCCCACACTAATAAATCAGGAATAACTACCACTCCCAGTTCGGTTCTCATTGTCACAAAACAAGGATTCAAATCCTGATTCATCCACAAGCATGCATTGTAAAATGACATGGGTGCATCGTTCTACCACCCTCTTACAGCAGAAAGGTAATTAAAGAAAGGCTAATACAGTAATCCTTGTTAAACAATCTTGAGCACAACACACTGAGTGTGAACACAAGTGGAAATGTCCACAGAATCTGTGGGAAGGAATATACCAGCAATGGCTAGGCAACAGGAAGATGGAAACTGAGGCTCGCTTACAGTGACTGATAGCTAGACCTAAATAGGAAAAATCTGCCCGCCCTCTAGTATTACATGCCATGGGTCTCTGCTATTACTTGGGGGTATGCCCCACTCAATGTCAGAAATCCCGTTTTCACTAGACATCTCTTTTCCTTTATGGCCTCAGAAAGTGGACAATCCCCTTCTATAACATAGCTGCTGTAAGCACTGAACATATAATTTTGGGCCATGGAGGTCTCTGTGCTTTCTCTCTTTCCTCTTCTAAATAAATCCACCCACATCAGGTCCACCTCTCCGCACGTCACCATTGCTTCTGTATTATTCTCTGCTACTCATGGTGGCTGCAAATCTTAGATGCTGTGGGGTTTATGTATGTGCAGTATCCCACGGAAACATGGTAGCTGCCCGGGACTGAAGAATTAGCAGCTACTACGAGAAGCCAAGTTCATGGCAAAAGCAGTAGCTGCACCTTGCAGCCTGAGTAGAAGTAGCTGCAGTTGCCCCCAGCTGGATTCTAGAAATGGGTGATTATGAACTTGTAATTAACTTGCACTAGTGATAGAGTTAGATGGGAAATGGAATATAACAATTTCCTCTAGATAGCCCATGTTCAGCAGTAACCTATGGCAACCTACAGGCTCAATGGTAATCTACAGCATCTTACAGGTGCAAAGGGAAATGCACACATGGGTACACAGAGCAGTTCAGGATGTTTTAGAGTAGAATACTTCACCTCACTCTCCCTGATTTCTCTACTTTTCCCTGCTGACCTCAGCTCAACCCAAAAAGTCCTCAGAGTACTGAACGAAATTGGCTTATCTCGGGAAAATTACATGGGGCTCTGGGAATTCCATGTATAAAGTCTGCAGTGGGTCCCCCCCCCTTTTAAATAGCTGGCATGTGGGACCCCAATTTAAATTACAACTGGATGAGGTGTTGAGCCTTGACTCCAGTTGAAAGGACCAGAGAGTAGGTGACGTGAAAGTCCTTGGCTGAGATCCTGGTGAGCTGCTGCCAGGTTGAGTAGACAATAATAACTTTGATGGGAGTAATGGTCTGATTCAGAATAAGGCAGCTTCATTTGTTCATGTGTCCCTTTCACCATTTTCCTTCCCAAAACAACTCTGTGGGCTTGTTTTTCAGTGCAAACAAAACTGTATATCAAATTCCATTATGTTTGTCCAGTGGGACAAATTGCAGTCCCATGAATGTGCTTCAGATAGGGAAAATGGTGGAAGGGAAAAGGCTTAATACTTTCCTTCTGTACTGAGGTCTTGCATACAAGTTGGGATCCTGCACGCCAGCTATTTGAAAGGGAAAAAAATGCTAGGAGCTCCCTTCATGGAATTCCCCAGCATCTCATCTGGTCTGATCCTCAGCTGCAGGTCATCACTGAGTTTTGGGTTTCCTTCCATTCCACCAGGGAATTCCATACATGCCTGGTTGGATTTTTATCTACAGATTGTCTCTTCCCCAGTGAGAATATAGAGGATTTCTGTTTCAAGACAGTAGATGCATGACCTTGACGGAATTGGTTTTAAAGTCACTAAGTGGATGAAAAATGCCTCTGTCTGAAGCTGGGGCAAGTGAGAAGGGCTCATAAAGATGTTTTGGTTACCCCCTCCAAAACAGTGCTTGCATAATCCGTGCCCACTGCACTTCTGTACAACAGCGGAGCCAGCTTTGTGAATGACAGCGGTGAACAGAAAGTTTAAGATGCGACTGATGCTCTTCTTGCAAGAACAAAAGCAGTTTCTATGGTTGATGTGATCATATTCCTGCCACCAAGTCCTGCCCAACTGCATAGTGGATACAACAAAGCGGACCACAACTCCTGGAATCCTGAAGAACACGGAGGGAGCGCCGCACGGCCACCAGAGCGAAGTGCAGATTGTTCGGCTTCCTCCCCACTAATAAGTGACTTGCCACAGGGGGTTCAAGGGAGCATCAATGGAGTGATGGGCAAGTAACAGTCCTCTTCTAGGAACATTGTGCGTTGTGCAGCCACTCCACTGGCAGGGGAGCAGTCGGTGCTGTGCTCCTCACTAACCGAAGATGCTGCTCAGTCTGGAACCCCGCATCGTCACAAAGACACACCATAAATAAATATGTTAAATAAATAGAATGACAGACCCGGGGGTGGGGGGGTGGGGACAAGGGCCCCAGGGAAGCCGTCATCTTTTAACAGACACGCAAACACACGAGAAGTAGCTAAAGACAAAGAAGAGTTAGTGCAGGGGAAGCCCGTCCCTGGACCACGTGTTCTCGGAGGCAGCCAGTGTCGGGAGAAGGAGCACAGTCCTCCCTGTGCGAAGGAAGGGCGAAGGGGTGTTACTTGTGAACCAGTGCTGTGGAGGGTTTCTGTGAGCTGGAGGCAAGGGATACGTGTGTCGCTGAGGATGGCAGAGAACGAGGACTCTGGCACCTGGGAAGAGCATGAACGAGAATGAAAATAATGATCTCAGAGTCTCCTTTCCCCCCCCTCCCCACCCTCACATCAAGCCATACTTTGCTGAAACTATTTTGTCCCCACACGAGAACTGCCACAGGAGAGTCCAATGATCCCATTCAGGCTTCACGCATTTGCCTTCCTCCCCACATGCCACATGGAACTTCATAGGCAGAGAACATTCTCGTTATTTCCCCAAATGTATTGACCAGCCGGAATGGCCTAATAATGGCTAAAATCAGACCACAGTTGCCTGCTGTTTTTGCAGAACATCTTGGGACCCAAATGTTTTTATTGTAATTTATGTGCTATTATATGTAAGCCACCCTGAGCTGACTAAACAAAAAAACAAACAAACAAATAAATGGCTCTTGGCACGTTCTTCAGATTGGGTAAATTGTTATTTCATTCTTATTTGTTCATCACTATTGGTTTCCCTTGCTCAAAAGCCAGTCGTATCCGACTCTAGGGGACGGTGCTTATCTCCATTTCCAAGCCGAAGAGCCAGTGCTGTCCAAAGACTTCTCCATGGTCACGTGGCCAGCATGACTAAATGCCAAGGCACATGGAACACTGTTACCTTCCCACCAAAGCGATACCTATTCATCTACTTGTAATTTCTTGCTTTCGAACTGCTAAGTTGGCAGGAGCTCGAGCCAGAGACAGGAGCTCACTCCGTCATGTGGCACTCGGGTCTCAAACTGCTGAGCTACAGACCTTCCGATCTGCAGCTCAGCATCTTAACCTCTGAGCCACTGCGGCCCCTAAGTTCATCACTATATCAGGTAGTAAAGTAGACAGTGCATGTCATTCACTAAGGAAACAATCCTTAGCAGTTCAACTCAGAAGTAGGTACCATGTTATTCAGTGGGGCCTACTCCCAGCAAAGGGTCCTTATTGCAACCTAACAGTACCATATTAAGCAAAGTTGCACCCCTTTAAATCCACTGAATTCAATAGGGTGTAACTGTGTGTAGATTGCACAGTAAAGCAGTTAATCCAGCCTGCCCCCAGATACAGGATAGAGCTGAGCATGCACTAAGACGGGAAAAACAGAGGGAGATATCAGCCTCCTCAATACTGTGACAGTTTATAAGAGGAGGAATGGGGCTTGGGGGCATTATTATTGCTATTCCCCCTGTGATTTCTCATGGGCACCAAACTGGTATATATAGGACATGATGCCACCCTTCTGGACCAGATAAAACCAAAGTCTCAAACCTTTTGTTAATGACTGCAACCACCAGATCTACTCCAATAAATCTCTGTTAGCAGCATTGCTTAGGTTGGGATCCATTACCCACCCATCACCCTGCTGTCTGCCCTACAAAGCTGGTCATATTCTGGAGACATCACTGCCAGTGCTAGGACCTGGGGCCTGAATGAGAAAATATCCACCCATCTGCTTGACTTTCTGACTACATGGATGAGCACACAACATGCTCTTCCACGTCAGCCCCAAAACATATATTTGCCCACTCACCAAGACCGTGACTTCCGCACCCGGGATGCAGCAGGCCGCTCCAAGAGGCTATCCAGGCGCATGAGCCTCTCCAGGTGCAATGCTCGTGGATCATGTTCGCTTTGGTCCTGTGTGATCTCAAACTCAAATACAGCTGGTGGGGAAACATCAAGTTCCAGAAACATGATGTTCTCAGCCTGTGTGAAGTTGCAAAAAGAAGGTAGGATGGAAAGATGCAGTCAAGAATGAGAGGTTAGTTTGAGCTGGGGTTGGATCGGAGAATTCAATACATACACAAACATGTATTAAGAAAGGGGCTCCTAAAAATTAGAATTAGGGGGATGTGGACTGAGCTTGTCTTCTACTAATTCTCCATGAATTGGACTGTGAGCCCCATGGGTTCATAAACATCTTTGTGTATATTATTTATAAATATTTAATTCGTCTGGGTCTTTGGGATAGGGCGACCTTAGACATGGACATGAATAAACAAAACTTTCTGTAAATGTGAGACCGATAGATCTTTCTGTACCACCTGACTTGTATCTTTGTGTCCTTCAAAATGGGAGAGGGCACATTCGGAAAGGGTTTACTTGGGACCATGCAAGGCTGATTCTGTTGGAAGCCCCTTCTCTCCGTCAGATCCTTTTTCTCCACTTCCTCACACAAGTCTCTGTGACTCACCCGGTACCGAGGATGGGAGCCCACTGACATGGCTAGGCGAGCGTATTGGCTGATGGGCCTCTTGTAGCCCACTGCGGAGGTTGGCCGCTTCTTCATCTGGGTGTTCCCGCTGCCACCGCTGCTGCAGCCACTGTTGTGAAAGTCAGATTAGTTTCCCCATAAACGAAATATATTTAGTAATTTAATAAAACTCAGCAACAAGAAAAGTAGGATCTATAGTTCTGTGTGTCAAACACCTCTGCCCACCATCCTGTGTCTGAGCTGGAGGCAATTTCCCTCTGACTTGCTCCCCAGACTCTCTAAATTTAGCCCTTCTTTTGACTGTTTTCATCTTCTTTTGGTGCTCCGAGGTTTTGTATCACCTGCCTCATCAGCAGGTAATCTGCAGTCAATTTCTGTGCACACTTTTTTTTTAGTTAACACAAACCAAAGGGTGCTGAGGATTTGTTTCCCATCCACCCCGGCTGTCCTGAGAGCTATCTTCCTTTAGAGGGTTTTCTACAGTGTCATTTCAAAACAGTTTGAAACCTGCTTAGCTCTTGTGACCATTTCTTATAGGCCAATCACCACTTTGGGGTCAGGAAGGAATTTTCCTCCAGGCCAAATTAACCCAGGGATCCTGGAGGTTTTTTGCTTTCCTCTGGGCATAGAGCACGGGTCACAGACGAATTGTGTTGTTGTTTTTGTTTGGGGGGGGGGGCTGTGAATTTCCTGCACTATGTAGGGTGTTGGACTAGATGACCTTGGGGTCCCTTCCAGCTGTATGTTTCTATGCCTTCTAAGTGAAGAACCAGAGGAACTGTATTTCTGCCCATGAAGACCACAGGCCCCCAAAAGGGAGGGGGATGAATTCAAAGACTCACCCTCCTCCGGTCAGCACTAGGGGTTGGAATTTCCACTGGTCTTCCTCGCAGTCGAAGTAGAGGCGGTTCATGATTTTGTTCTTCTCCTCAGGGGGGATGAAGTTTTCAATGATTAGGTACCTGAACATGGAAGGGGGAGAGTCAGGTGAAGGAAGGCTACCATGGCAAAGCGTGCCATTTGGGACCCTAAACAGACGTGACCCACACGTGACTGGGGAGGGAAGGTGGACGGAAGGCACAGCTTGGGGAAAAAAAATGAAGACAAAGAAATGGCATTGTGTTTATTTTCTTATTTATTCTGAAAAGTGTAGCCCATTTAGTAGTCCATATAAGGCTAACGAGTCAGCGATCAGTTTTAGTGTGAAACATCTCTCCCAAGGAGCTCAGCTCAAATGGGCTGATCATGTCTTGTCTCCATCGTGGCTGATGCTTGGTCCCCTGTACTTGCCTCATTACCTGGAGTAGCCTCCCCTTTTCTATTAATCAAGATGCCTCCCACCCAGAGTTCCCTCTAAGCTGAGTTAGTGTGAGCTAGCTCACAGTTTTTTAGCTTCCAGCATTTTTGTCTTAGCTCAGGAAGGATGGCTCCAGAGCATACTTCTGTATGCAGTAGCCAAATCGCTGTCTCACAACTTTAATGTCAGTAGCTCCCAAAGTAGAATTTTTGCACACAAGACTCCACAGCTTAGAGGGAGCATTGCTCCCACCCCCTCCACATTCTTCTTACAGGCCCACTTCTCAGGGACCAGTTCCCACCCTTATTTTCGCCCTTCATTGCCACCTCACCCTCCCCTGCCCCTCCACCTCTTGTCACTGTGACACTCTGACATCAGCCTCCCCCATCCAGAAGTGGCCCTGCCATGAGGCAAAGCGAGGTGATTCTCTTCAAGCAGTAGATGTGGGGTTTTGTTAAAGATGGCGGAAACAAAGATCTGAGTGGCCCCGGGGTCAAAATCCACTGGAGGTTCACCTGTACAAGCCCCCTTGTACAGCAACTGTAGAAGATCACACTCCTTTCAACATCTGGATTTGCTGCTTCAGGTACCAAGAATAGCTTGGTCCAAACCTGCCTATATCCCTGCCTTAACCATCTGATGTACATTAATGAGTTCAAGGCAGGAAATCTACCAGTTCTGGATCCTGTACAGCACCTGGCACATGCTTTGAGCACTATGCCACTGATGTAAAACAGCAGTGTTAGAAGTAGGGAGCATAGAGAAAATTTGGGAATAAATTACAGATTGGGTGGGAGGAGGGGCTCACTTCTTAAGGCAGAAGGAAATAAACCACGAGTTGATTTCCATAGTTCCACATAATGGCATGGTAGCGTCATCAGAAACAGTTTTTACCTCACTAGTTTCATGTGCCAAATATTTCTTGTGATATCAGAAAGAGCAATTGAGGAGTAACAGGCTCCTTGACTGGGTACAAATCAGCCAGCAGGGTGAAACTGAAGAGATAAAAATAACCTCTGAGGGAATGCCATTCCTTACAGTCACTATCCCTCAGGTCAACAAAGGAGGTCCTAGTCTAAATTCCCCTATTTGAGTAAGGTATCATCTATCAGAGTTAGAAGTTTTTCAGTCATTACCTCAGTGCTAAGGAATGTTCTCCTCACTGATGCCCAAAGCTATTAGAAATCAGGGGGAAACATAACATCTTTCCTTCTGGGAAATATGTGTGGTTAGATTGTTGGATTAGGATCTGGGAGACCCAAGTTCAAATTCCCATGGAAGCTTGCTGGGTGACTTTGGGTCACCCAGGATGACTTGGGGGATACTCTCTCAGACTAACCTACCTCACAGGGTTGTTGTGAGAATAAAATGGAGAGGAAAACTATGTAAGCCACTTTGGCCAGCAGCTCCCTGTAGCAAATAGCGGCAATAGTACAGAGAATAAGCCTCCAGGGTCCTGCTATTAAAGTTTCCCGGTCTGAGACCACTCCCCACAGCACTTCACATCCACATGAGAATGATTCACATGTTTGATTTCTCTTAAGATTACTGGGTTGGATCCTACCACCTTTCCACTTCCACAAGACGCAGGAGAGTTGATCTTGCCGAACCCCCCCACCCCCGTCACTGCCACCCCATCCTATGTGGCTTTTTATCTGTATGGGTCCCCTAATCCCTGGCATAGCCTTTTTGGTGGTGGTGGGTTTCTCTGAAGAGAAAGATCGAGTATAAATTTATATCTGTTTGCCTGTCTGTCACTAACCCGTTTGAAATAGGGTTTTTTTGTATATTAATTTTCAATAGTGTGGTTATTTAATAGTTGTTTAGTTTTATTGTATTTTAGATAACTTCATAACAACCTGCCTTTAGGATCAAACACTGGCTGAGAGTGCAGGATATAAATAGTTTTAAAAGATATTACTGGTTTTATTTGCTTGTATGGACTAAAAGCAGCTTACCAGGTTGGATCCTACCAGCTTTCCATTGGCAAAAGCTCATTATTCCATGTCTTTCCTTTCTCTCAGCACCACCACCACCAAAAAGGCTATGCCACGGATTAGGGGACCCTTACAAATAAAAAGCCACATAGGATGGGGTGACAGTGAAGGGGGGAACTGGGCAAGATCAACCCTCCTGCCTCTTGTGAAAGTGGAAAGGTGGTAGGATCCAACCCAACCCAGTAATCTTAAGAAAAATCAAACTTGTGAATCATTCCCATGTGGATGTAAAGTGCTGTGGCAGATGGTCTCAGACTGGAGACTTTAGCAGGAGGACCCTGGAGCCTTATTCTCTGTACTGTTGTAGCTATTTGCCACAAGGAGTTGTTGGTCTACTCTCTGCTGCACTTTAGCACCACCATGACAGATGGCCAGAAGGTGGTACTGCAGTTACTAGCAAAACAGAGATCAGGTGACACAAAAGACCAATAGGTTTCCACCAGTTCCTAGAAAGTTTCCAAATGTGGGCAGTTTGCCACTCAGATATAGGCAGAGTAGCTCTTGCACTGCTCATTCCTGCCGCCTTGTGACAACAAGAGGAGCCAAGAGCCTCCGCCTTTGCATAGACTTTCCCCAGATTGGGCAGCCGTTTCATCGTGTCACACCCCATCATCATAAAGTACCTACTTGAGCTTCAGCTCTCGGGTCTGCTCATTCTGTGCCTCTTCCAGATCCTGTCGCACTCTGATGTATTCATCGTGTTGGTCCTGGATCTCTGCCTTCACAGCCTGGAGCTTGGCGTAGAGCTACCATGGAGGGAAAAGATTGCTCGAATTAGGGAAATGGCCACTGAAAGGGGGAGATGGGAGGGAAACAAAACTCCAGGGGCCGGGGAGGGGGTCAGGCAAGGCATTTCCGATGTACAATTATAAATGTACTAGCAATTTGCCAATACTGCCCCCCCTTCCAATCCTTTTTCTCTTTCCCCCATCTTTCCAAAGTCTTTGCACACTCAAGAACAAGTGGGAGAGTTGGATTCTCCTAGGCACTTGCCTGTATTACATGACCCTTGTGCACCGATCATAGTGCCCTCAGATGGCAACTCAGCATCTTCATGCTAAACAGCCAAGCAGGTGAACTGTTTTCCTATGATACTGGGGTTTAATCTCGGTGGCATGAGAGGCCCCCAAAGAGAATCCTTGTCTGGGGCTCACAGTGACTCTCAATGAACCACCTTGTGGCCTGACCTTGAGTGGTTCCACAAAGCATACAGTGAAACACTCGCTGAGGGTACAAACTGAGGACAGAAGAGTCTTAGGCTGCTAACTCTTTGTCGTGAACTGTCATCCTGTGTCATTATGTGGCATGGAGACACTGAGAAGGTAGAAAAATAGCTGCCAAAAATTCTTTACTTCCTTTGCAGAGCAATGCTAAGCAGACTTAAAAGGTAAAGGTGAAGGTTTCCCTTGCTCGAAAGCCAGTCGAATCCGACTCTAGGGATGCGGTGCTCATCTCCCGTTTCCAAGCTGAAGAGCCAGCGCTGTCAAAAGACATTTCTGTGGTCATGTGGCCGGAATGACTAGATACCGAGGTGCATGGAACACTGTTACCTTCCCACCGAAGCAGTACCTATTTCTACTTGCAATTTCTTGCTTTTGAACTGCTAGGCTGGCAGAAGCTGGGACCAGAGTCAGGAGCTCATTCCGTCATGCGGCACTCGGGTCTCAAACTGCTGAACTACTCACCTTCCGGTCTGCAGTTCAGCGTCTTAACCTCTTGAGCCACCACAGGCTTACATCCTGCTAAATCCACTGCAGTCAATGGGCTTAGCAGGGTGTAACTCTGCACATATAACTCTCCATTCCCAGTACCTTCATCTTATATATTGTCTTTATGGATAGAGCTTTCTGTAGCAATTACATATAGGACTGGGGACACCAGGTGCAGTTCTCTCATGTTGTGTGTGTGTTACGTGCCATCAAGTTGCTTCCAACATATGGCGATGAATTAACGTTCTCCAAAATGTCCTGTCATTAACAGCCATGCTCAGGTCTTGCAAATTGAGGGCCCTGGCTTCATGTTGGGATCACCCAAAGTCTTCCTGTTCTGCCCTCCCTGTATTCCTGCAGCTGTCTCACCTTTTTCAGCTTCTTGGTTTTGATCTCCACTTCTTGCTGCAAGGAGGTAAATGTCTCCCGGAGCTCCATGGTCTCCTCATCCCGCAGCAGCATTTCCTGCTGCATCTCCCGCTCTCGCCGTTTCTGCATTACAGGAGGAAAGCATGCTTAAACTGTGGAGAGCAACATGCATAATCCAACAACTGCTGGCAGCCAGAGAATTAGGATTGCCTAATTTATCTTGCCATTCACAATCTGCTTCTCTGTTCCAAGAGCAGACTGGGGGGGGAATAGTTAACTGCATTTCCAAGAGGGTACCTGCTGTAACTGGGGGAGTATCTCCCTCGGGCGCTGGCTGGTTAGGGAGCAGCAAGAAGGTGCTGGCCCTGCTCCCGCCCAGCCCTTACCTGCTCTGCAATCTCCTGCCTCTTCAGCTCCAGCATCTTCTGTTGCTCATTCGTGTGGTCCATGATGTTCCTCCCACCAATCAGCAACTTGCTTTCCATTGCCTGCAGAAAGGAAGGAGAATGTGGCCAGTTACCACTAAGAGTCTCATCACTTTTCAAAGGCTGTGTGATTGCCCTAACAGTTAGTCAACTTTTGCTATGCTAAGGATGAATAAGACTTTTTTCTACAGTGGCATATGACAGGGCCAATGTATGATGCATGCCATACCCATGTTCGGGGCTGAGCTGCAATAATCTAGCTCGTATAATGAACATTAGCTGTGTTGACCAGTGGCTGTGGAGTCCCATGAACTGTTGAACTTCCTCCCACTACCCTTGCAGCAGCTGCTCTTTGTGCTGATTTCCAGGCCTGACTGCCACATACTGAGGGAGGTAGCATGAATACCAGTACAGTGTGCAAAATTCAGTGCAGATTGCTGCTGCATGCTCATTTGTGAGTTCTTGAAAACATGCCGTGGTACGCAACCCCCACTGTGGGAACTGCTTTTACACAATCACCTACTTTGACACCATGGAAGTCAGTACATGCAGAACCAGCCCTATCAAAGAGGGCTGAGAGGAAAAGCCCATGATTCAACTTGATCCCCAATAGCTAGGGGCTGGAAAAGTGCACTGGGGGGGGGAATAGCTCATGTCTGAATCCACACTGAGCAAAGAGTTGAAGAGAGGAGGGAAAAGGACTCCAGATTCACTACAAAGGGAGGGTAATCTTGCGGATAGGGATTATGAGACATTCCAAGAGGCAAGGAGTAGTTATTTCAGGCTGCGGATTTGGATGCATCAGAAGAAGCAACCAAGTTGAACCCCCAGCACAAGCTGACTTCTATACAAGCTCCACTGAAATGAACAGGATGTGTTCCCTAGCAATATTGTTCCTTATATTAATTAAGGGAGGACTGGGATACTGTTTGGATTTTCTAACTAAGGCACGAAAGCATTCCAAGCCAACTGTAGATTTATCTGTCTGTCTGTCTGTCTGTCTGTCTGTCTGTCTGTCTATCTATCTATCTATCTATCTATCTATCTATCTATCTATTTATTAAATTTATACCCCGCCCTACCCCAAAAAATAGGCTCAGGGCGGCTCACAACATAAAATCAGCATATAATAAAATCACGAAAACAATAATTAGCAATAGCAGATAATCAAGCCCATGTATTACCACATAATTACCCTATTATTATGGAAGGAATCAATTTTTACAATGCCTCCCCCGCTCCATTCACACATGCAGACTGGTAGGAAATAGGTTTGCTCCTGCTAAAAATACGGGTCTGATGGAACTCCACTTTCTCGGGGTATGTTTTTAAGAAGTACCACAGTAAGGTGACTTCTGGCATGTATCTTCATGCCATTTCTTTAAACATCCAGATCAACATCTAGTAGAGTTCTGCCCCCATCTCTTTTTCAGTGTTTAAGAGAACATTCTGAAGGTTCTTATTTGCAGAATGCTTTGCTGTTGGATAAATTAATCTGGAAACTTTCTCATAATCAAGGACACACCCAGTGTGGTGCAGGCACTAGCCTTGGACCTTGGAATCCTGAGTTCAAATCCCAGTATAGACCTGCCCTATCTGGAAAAAGAAAGCAATCTGCCTCATGGGCATTATAAGGGGGGAGGGGGAAGCAACTAAGGCTTAGAAAATGAGCCAGACAGGCAGTGTGTGATCGGAATGAATTGGGGCAGAACTGTAGCTCCACCGTTTCAACGACCAATGCAACAATCCCTGACAAGGAGCTACATGAACAGATGAAGCAAGAGGCGTAAACTGAAAGGAAGCATACTCAAGGCCTGACTGCACATCACAGGTAATTCTGTGATTGTGTTTCCGTGTGTGTGTGTGTGATACTGATTGCGGCTGCTCAGGACCACATAGGAGTCCCGGGGGGGGGGGGGGTAAACACACAGCAATTTTCAGTGGGAAAGAGGCATATGGGAAACAACAGTCTCCCCCCCACACACCAGTCTTCCCTTCTAAATCACAGCACTTGCAGCTGCAATCTGTAAAAAAAAGAAACATCTGGGAAAACAGTACCAAAACTACGCATACAATGTAGTTCTGCTCTTTGGTTAAAAGTCATGAAAATAAGAACCACAGAACAAGTTGTCTAGGGAGGGTTTTCCTTTTTCTTTTTGGAGTTTTTCAAGGAGGCCTTTGACCGGCAGCTGTCAGAAATGCTGGGATATCCTGCCTAAGGGCAGGGGGTTGATTAGAGTGTCTCATGGTGTCTGTTGTTTTGGGAGTGCCAGGTTCTACCTGGCAGCACTACTATGAAAAAGAATCAGTAAAACAGGAGAATCCCCTCCTCTGCTTTGGGCAAACCCAGCTGGTTTGTGGACCCTTTGGTGCTGGAGGTGTTGCAGACAATGTCCTCTTGTGTCTGTGTTCCCCCATGCTGTGCAGTTGATGCATCCCAGATGCGCTGGCGCAACACCAAGACCACTTCCTTCCGCACAGCTGCTGGAGTCCACAGCTGCTGCTGGATGCTGGACAGCTGCACTCCCAGCTCCAAAACCATCCTTCCTGTGCGCTTTGCAAACAGACAGCACTTCCCTACTCAAACCTTGGTATCTGCTACCTGGAAAGGAAGTGGGTAATGAGTGGAGGTTGGGGGCTTAACAGAGAAACTCTAAGCAGGTCTACTCAGAAACCTACTCAGCTTTATTCACTGGGGCTTACTCACAAGAAAGTGTTCTTAGGACTGCATTGTTAGGGAGAAGGTGGGTGGAGAAAATACTTCCAGTAGGCACTCCTGCCTGCAAATAGACCTGTAAGTGTTCACCATTGACTGATAGTCTGTGCTCCACGTATTTTTTTAAAAATACAAGCAATATAGCATTCAAGCAAATGTGCTCACTTTATTTAGATTTGACATTATATGAGCTGATGGGGGGCAGTTCACAAAGTTTTGTAAATTTTGCAAGCATCAAAGCAGGGTTGGGACAGATGGGAAAATCTGGAGCTACAAGGGCACAGGAACTCTGTCCTGTGCTTGCTGCTTGTTGGCTTTCAAATTGTCTTCCCATGCATGATCCTGCATTGAGCAGGGGGTTGGACTAGATGGCCTGTATGACCCCTTCCAGCTCTGTGGCTGTGTGGCCAGTTTGGTGTAGTGGTTAAGTGTGCGGATTCTAATCTGGGAGAACCGGGTTTGATTCCCCACTCCTCCACTTGCACCTGCTGATGTGACCTTGGGTCAGTCACAAGCTCTGGCACAGCTGTCCTTGAAAAAGAGCAGTTTGTGTCAGAGCTCTCTCAGCCCCACCTACCTCACAGGGTGTCTGTTGTGGGGAGGGGAAGGGAAAGGAGTTTGTAAGCCGCTCTGAGACACCTTTAGGTAGTGAAGGGTGGGGCATAAATCCAATCTCCTCCTCCTCCTTCTTCTTCTTCTATGATTCTATGACAAGGGCCATGGTTCAGTGGTAGAACATCTGCTTGGCATGCAGAAGTCCCCCCGTTCAATACCCGGCATCTCCAGTTAAAAGATCTGGCAGTAGGTGATGTGAAAGACCTCTGCTTGGGACCCTGGAGAGCTGCTGCCAGTCTGAGTAGATAATACTGACTTTGATGGACCAAGGGTCTGATTTAGTATTAAGTAGCTTCATGTGTTCAAGTTGCCTTTCTCCCAAGACGATCACAAGATCCTCTGTATGGGGTATGCCATAACATATCAGTGGAGATGTAGGACACAGACAGCTACACGGCTCTTAACTTAGGGGATTGGACATCCTGCTTCAATGCAGCACACACGAGCATTCCGGTTCAGCTGCAGCAGAACTGGGACCATCCCAACTGCACAAGGACAGGATCTGAGACTTGTACCTCTGCACTGTAGCAAGTGATTATGCGCCACATCACTCTGTGTAGTGTAGGTGTGGAGGGGGACAAAATGCCTTAGGCCAGCTTTGCGCAAACGCACACAGCTCAAGGGGACAGCAAGAACTGCCTGTCTTCATCTTTGACTTCCTGCTTTGAAGCAAGAGTATGGGGAGGGGGTCCTCTTTAAATAGCAGCAGCTTTTCCTTCAAGGGCATCCCTGCCTTCAAAGCAGGAAACCACCCATCAAAATGGCACAGGCTAAGCATACAGGACTTGTGTTTTAGAAGAAGAAGAAGAGATTGGATTTATACCCCGCCCTTCACTACCCAAAGGTGTCTCAGAGCGGTTTACAAACCTTTCCCTTCCCCTCCCCACAACAGACACCTTACAAACTTCTTTCCCTTCCCCTCCCCACAGCAGATGCCCTGTGAGATAGGTGGGGCTGAGAGAACTCTTGACAGAAACTGCTCTTTTTCAAAAACATCTCTTATCAGAACTAGGGCTTGCCCAAGGTCATCCAGCCAGGTGCAAGTGGAGGAGTGGGGAATCAAACCCGGTTCTCCCAGATTAGTGTCCGCACACTTAACCACTACACCAAACTGGCTCTCAAGCATATTCGTTGTTTATCCTTCCACTTAAGAGATGAAAATTGTTACTATTTTATTATTTTTCACTTATAGCACATGTACACATGGAAGCTGCCTTATATTGAATCAGACCATTGGTCTATCAAGGTCAGTGTTAGATTGGCATCAGCTCTCAGGGGTCTCAGGCACAGGACTTTCATATCACCTGCTGCCTGATCCTTTTAACCGGATATGCCAAGGATTGTCCCTGGCACCTTCTGCACACCAAGCAGATGCTCTGCCACCGACCCATAGCTCCTCCCTTTCTCAGTAGGACCTAAAGCAGATTACAGGTATGATTAAAACAAAAATCAGTCAGTAAGTAGATTGCAAAATATCATAACATTTGAATCTAACAGCAAAGTTTCCTAGTAAGACAAAAAAACATCCAGTTGGGCTGAACAACTTATGAAAATGTATCTGTTTAAGGCAACAGGACAATCACTGTAGGAAAAACATTATCTCTAACAAAAGTCACCTCCTGAGCTCAACTGTTACCCCCTAGCTAGAAACAGAAGATAAACAAGTTAGGTAAACCATAAGTAAGGTGATCATTTGCTTGTGACCTGTAATGCACTCTACATAGGTCTCCCC